ACATCCCTCCCCCCAGTTTGTGTGTGTGAACTCCTGCCTCTGTTTTTATTCAGGCAGCTTCCAGGGATTTGTGTATATATATCTAATAGCCTGCTCAACATCAAGCACAGGAAATACGGGTTTTCACCACATGGGGAACAAACCACAGCTAAGACGACCAGGAAACATTCATAATTTTTAATTCACACCAGTAATAAAATTGCATTACATTTTTCATAAAATAAATGTTCCAGTTTATATACAGAAAACAGACTGTACAGAGCCCTCCCCCAGACCCCAAAAACTCACAAACATACAGGCAATGCAGTGCTCAGCTAAGCAGGCACAACTGTACATCTAAAATTGTAACTGCTTTGTGGTGGGGGGGAAAAGTACTACAATGTATATAGTCCTCTCTGGACCGAGAATTAAAAAAATATTGCAGGCAAGCTGACAGGCGCCCTCGCTGCTCGCGCGGCCAAGCGCCCATCCCACAGTGCTTCAGCGAAGCAGGGTTTGTTATTGAACCTGGGACTCAAAGCTCCCGTTCAGCTGCCCTTCCTCATAGTCCATCTGACACAAGATCATGTTGTTCTTCAGGAAAAATTTGTCCCCCACGCAGAATCTGGAAGACAAGAAGAATTAAGAGGCATAAGTATGAACAGGGGTTGGAACAGAGTGCATTTGAGGCAGTTTGGGTCTGAAGGTGACTCCGGGGGCCAGAGTTTGATTTCCAGCTCGGCCGGTGGCGCGGTACCCCGGGAAAGTCTGGGTGCTTCTCCTGCCTTCCCCTTCCCCGCACGCATCCTGGGGCTTTGCTGTCCCTTTTCCTGGCAGGGTGGTGCTCAGCTCCCAGGACTTGTGTGGTGTGTTGGGTGCCGGGCCCCCGTCTCTGCCGAGTCCCACGCCAGCGGCCGCAGGAGGCCGGGAGCAGTGAAGGGATTTGTCCCTGCAGCAGATGAGAGGTGTCAGCTCTACCACCGGGAAATCAAACGGGCAATATTACACAGAGATTATTTGAAGTTTTTGCTGCTATCCGCCATTTCCACGGTCCCCTCGGGTGAGGCAGTATTTACACTAATTTCCAGGCAAGGACTGGCTATTAAGTCCTTCCTCACCCCCTTGTGTACAGTGCGGAACAATAAATAGAAATTTCCTGGTGGCTGGACTCCTAACCTTTATCTTCATCGAGCGAAGGGCACCGCTCTCTATATACCATGTAAATTGTTCTGTTTGTATTGAAGTTGACAGAGAGGCTTGTGATATTTAACAATTTTATTTGACCATTAAGGTCAAAAAAGTTCCACATATAAGATCTGAGAGGTGTGAATTGACAGCCAATAGCTTTTTCACCCTGCCTGCTTGCTCAAGAATCTGAAGCTAATCTTTACTTCTTAAGATAACAAATAATGCTCTTTGCGCCCAATTCAGGGGCTGTTTTTTATCCCTGACACCAGTGGGGCGATGATAGACCAGAGTGCATGGCTGCGCCTCCCTGCCCCAAGTGCTGAGCCCTAAATCAGCCCCAGGTCCCTAAAGCAGAGTCACCCCAGGTCCCTAAAGCAGTCAACCCAGCCCCTGGGCCAAAAGGCAGCTCTGAACCAACAGGAACAGGTAGGTACCACCCCCTGGTGAGGCCAAATATTTACTGGGCTTTAAAGGAAGATCAGTGGAGATGATCCCATCCTCAGGAGACTTGGCAGACCTCAAATTCCCATTTCCTCTGCTCCCAGGCAGAGCTTTGGCAGGGACGTCAGCTATTCCTTGTCTACAATTTGTCTAGATTTGTAACCCGGGCAGCCTCAGGCAGAGCATCTCCATAAAACTGCATATTTTGTGCTACAAGAACAGGAGTGGGCATTTTAGAGCTCCTTTATAGGTCTGACATGGGCACAAGTTTTCTCCAACTGAACACCTGCAAATAAGTGGACTAATGTGCCAAGCCCATACAGAGAAAACTGGGCATTGGTTCTCACTTTATATGATTTCACTGGAGATTTTCCATCTTCTTTCCTCTGCAGGATGTGCGTTAGCAGTTCTGAAATTCAACCTTTTTTGTATATTAAAAAGCTAAAAATTAATCTCAATTTAAATTAACAGCTTTTACACAAAAACTGCATGCACTCTCCTGAAAACAACCTTCCCCCACCGGTAGGTTTACTCACGATAAATAACAGACAGCTGCTTGCTTTCTGCTACTTATCCCTACCTTAAGTACAATATAAATCTCCATGAAGAGAAATGCAAAAATTACTCTTGCCATCAGCATCACAGACAGCTGTCTCTTGCCAAACCTGGTTTGGGTCTAGAGAAGCCAAAGGAAGAGTTGGAGAAGTAAGGAGTTAGGGGGTGGGTGTGTGTATGAGCATGTGGGAAATAATATGCGCAGCAGGGGTACTCTGAGACCCTGTGGGGTTTTGGGAGAAGGGCTTGATTCACTGGAAAGGCGACTTCTTTCTTTCTACCTGCCGGTCCTGCAAACCCAGCAGTAAACTGGGATCTCTTCAGCTGATGCATCACAACTAGAGACAGAGGATTTAACAGGGCAGATGCAGGACTTCCGATGCAGTTTCGCGTGTCCCAGCCAGCAGCTCTCTTCAGAGCAAGACATGGGACCGCTCTGCCAGCCCTCACGCTCGGAGCAGGTCTGTCGCAGAGCTCGTCTGGCTGATCGAGTTCCAGCCAGCAGCAGTGAGAAACAGGCGCTGAACCTACCCTGCCATTTCTACAGACAGATTTTCTTCCGAGCAAAACCACTACTTAGATAACAGCAACGCAAGCAGCTGCATTTCCTGCAACCCTTGTAATACTGACCTGTTAGCCAGCTACAGCAGTGACCAACTTTCAGTATTGTGACAAGCAGCATCAACCTTATAAGTCAGCCTTATAAGGCTGAGTAGCCTTGTAGGACTTGCTGCAAACCTGATGTTTTGGAGAACGAAGCTAATGAAAATACTGCACACTCAGTATAAATATTAGAGATTTTGCTCTGATGGATATAACAGTCTACACAGAGTCCAGCTACAGAAGGGCAAGTAAGCTAGAAGAGAACTACAGAAATGTCTTCATAATCAAATCTTTTCATAGCTGAAGAATGAGGTGGGGTTTCAGGTGGGGTTTCCAATTCAGAACTAGCTTTGGCATCCACCTCTGCAATTTTGACGTTAGGCTTACTTAAAATCACTGTTCTCATTCAGCTTCCAATGCCGTCTGTCACAGGCGCACTGCCATTCTGCCCTTTCGGGCCAAAATCTCTAGAGGATAAGTCATAAAAGTTTGTAGCCTTCTGATCTCAGCCAAAAATAATAATCCACACATAGCTCTACGCTGTCTACTCAGCCCATCTTTCAGAAAAACTCAGCTCCTCTCAAACTGGGCAAATCCCTCGTGCATCAAAGCGCGACTCTGCCAGAACGGGGGGATTACCTGCGCTTTCCTGCCAGGCAGCGACAGCACTTGGAGGTTGTTTTAAGGGCAGAGTAGGAGCGCACTTTGCACTGAGTGCAGGAACAGTGTTAGCAATTGCAGAGGGAAGAGAGGTGCTTTGAAACCTTTGTAATAAAGGGTGAAATTTAAAAGAAATTCCTGAAAATGAGAACTAGGTGGTACTAGGCGTTTCCATGAGAGAAACTAGGCTAAAGTAGGGGTTTGATGATAAATATCCTACAGACTCCAAGGTCAACCCAACACTCCTGCCTGTGCAGCCCAGAGCCGTTGCCTCTGCCAGAAGGGACGTTTGAGATGCTCTAGCCCTAGTATCGGCGTGGAGTTTGGGAGCACCCCTCTCCTGCCCGTCCTTCATCAGCAGGCTGAAGAAAGCTGAGCCTGAGGGCTGAGCCTGGCAGCACCTGCAACACTTTCGAGTCTGGAGACAAACTCCACAACCAACCAGGAATTTCACCTGTGTGAAGACAGACCATCACAGGGAGGGAGCGTGTTAGCTCTGCAGTCACGTGCTGCTGATCAGGAATCACGGCTGGGCAGGAGCATGTTCAAGAGGTGCAAAACAAGACCCCATGGGCAACTGAAAGATTTAGCGGGGCTTCCAGAGAGGAGCCCAAGGCCGGGAGCCACTAGATGTCACTGCCGCCCCGGCGCTGCCACCGCGCCTCCGGACGCCGCCAATATTCATAGTTTTCTGCCTTGAACAAACACTGCCTCTGCCTTCCATATCGTGATCGAGTAAAGCCACCTGAGCTACAAACAGCTGGCCTGATTCTCCTCTTCCACGCTCTGGCACCAACCAGCCGCAACCCCATTCATCCCCGTGAACTAAGCAGCTGTCAGAGGCATGGGAGGAGAATCAGACCCCAGTTTGCACAGTCTCCTGAGTTTAGTGGGAAAGGTGGCAGGGGTTTGCATCCACACATGCACCATGTATGGCTACTTCATTAGAGATCCCACTGTGACTTTTGTTCTAGGGCAAGTGATGAATTTTTAAGTCAAGCTTTTAGCTTGACTTTTACAGAACTAGGTTCTCCATCTTCCCACGAGTTCTGTCGTCTCTCTCACACCTTCACGTGGGATGAAGCATTGCCTCCTAGTTTCACAACAACAAGTCCAGAACAGCAACCCCAGCACAGCCCTTGGGCAATCACTACAGCCCGACTAAAGCAGTAAGCACAACGAGCACTTGCAGGCCTGTCTTGGACAACGATGGATGGATGCATTAGAAGGCGACACTGTATCACGCCTGGTTCTGTGGGCTTCCATTCGGCCTACAATGACCAAGAAACAGCATGCTGCAAAGATTTTTTCACAGCCTTGCCAAATTCAGCTGGCTGCAGGTAGCCCAAGGGAAAGGGAAAACTTTGTGCGTGACCCTTTATTATACTCCTCGACATGCATTTTCCACTGGGTAAACCCCAGCAAAATGCACAAGCCCCCCTCAAAATTACACCATCAAGATCCCCTATTAATTACACAACTAAAGGGATTGGTTCCTACTGTCGGAAAGGGCTTTATCTAGAGTATTTTTCTCCTTCCCATCGCTTCTCTTTCTCCTCCTTCTTTGCTGTCCCCAGTTTGGAGCCTGTGAGAAACCCAATTTAAGCAAAATAACGTCAGTTTGCCAGAGGAAGTCCATTCTCCATCATCTGTGTTCTGCAAAGAGGGTAGATCCTGAAAGGATGCTGAGGCGGTTTGTTTTATTCAGCAGCAGCTGTGCTGCATACGACCGTGGCCAGATCTGCAGTCTTTGAGCCCCCCCCATCACCCTCCCAACTCTCACCAGCTCCAAGGGGATTTGCAGTGCAGGGGCTACAGGTACTTACATGCATCACCCAGGTCAGCCTAATAAACCAGCCCAAGCCACCCCAGCAGGCTGTGAGCCCCAGACAGGTAGTGTGGATCAAAACGTTGCCCCTGTTTTGCAGGCAAAGGTATAAATTAGTTTGTGTTTGTGTGTGTAATAACTGTGTCCTCACCGCTGGTTGCAGAGCTGACAGGCAAAGCAGTCCAAATGGTAAACATTATCTCTGGCCCTCATCACCATCTCAAAGGCAGGGATCAGTTTACTGCAGGCAGCACAATTCCCGGTGGTACCAAAGAGCCTGCCAAAGAAGCACAATCATTAGAAGCCATTTTAATTAAATGGTGGAAGGACTAATTAAGTGTAATTAGCAGTATCAAATACTGTATTGCACCAATAAATAGAAGTTGCAGTCTCCATTTCGCTGACCAACCAGTGTGCGGGAACTTGGGATAAAACTGCCTGGTGAGCCGGCTCCGATTGTCGAGATGAAACTTCATTTGGTTTGTGAGCCTAGGGCTAATTTGCTGTCTAATGGAGAAAAGCATTAAACACTTAGAGCACTATTTTGGGGCTCACAAAATTTCAGTCAAAAACTATCTGCCTCTCTGCAGCAATGGGGTAGGTGCTCGGAGCTGCCCACCCTCCTCTGCGTGTGCTTGCCCCGTCTGTGCTTGGGCACAGCCCAACGGAGGGATAGGCTGGCAGCCTCTCACACCAAGATGCAGAAGACCTGCAAACTTTGCCAGCCCTGGCAGGCAACACTATAGTATAGCTCAGGAAGAACCTCACTTACCTGCAGTTTAAAATACAAAAAGCACAATTTCTCTTGCAATGAGTACAACAGCATTTTGCAAGGCATCTCAGAGAGCAAGCCCTCCTCCCTGGCTGTGCCCCCCTCCTCCCGCCTCCACGTCCCTCCTGGGAGCCAGCTAAGCCCTTCCACCATGGCCCGAACAGCATGCTCAGCCGTTCCACTTCAGCTCCCCGGTCCTCGAGGACAGCCCTTCAGCACTGGAAGCTTTGCCATTTTCATCTTGGCTTTCACTATCTGTCTCCCCAGATGTCTGCTGCTGTTACAGCTCCCGCCGGGGGACTCAACCAAGACTGCAGCATCCTTCCCCCGGCCCCCTCCAAGATGTCCCCGCAGACCCCTGTGCGTGCCAGGGGCAGCACGCCACTGCGACATTAAAGCCACATGAACCGGCTGGGGCGTGAATCAACAGGCCGACAAAACCAAGTTTCACCCGAGACTGTGGTCAATATGCCATGTGGTTGGTTACTTTGCTTAGGAGATGATGAAAATCGTATTCTTGGGGAGATGAGCCTCAAGACGTA